CCTTCCCCTCCCGCTCTTCCCTAGGTTTGGGACCACCTTCCCCTCCCGCTCTTCCCTGCATTTGGGATCCCCCTTCCCAAAGTTTTTCTGGGCAATCCCTGCAAGGCGCGGCTGGGCTGGGCTGAGCCTTTAATCGGGAAACGCTGCCCAGGTGGGGCAGCAGCGCCCGGGAGTTCGGGAAATGCGGCTGCTCCTCCCCAATTAGCAAAGAGATTTTCCAGTAATTCTGCTCAGGTGATCACTATTCTATATTTATATATTAATGTATGTATATATCTTTAAAAGTATATATGTTATAGTACATATATGTATTTATATGTGTGTGTGAAAGTACATATATAAATATACATATATATACTATAAAAGTATATATATCAAGGTGTGTGTATACATATTTAAACTATATAAATGTATATAAAAATATGTGTATATGTATATATACATCTATATGCATGAACGAAATTACAAATATAAAAGTATAACTATAAATATATATGTATAAAAGTATGTGTGTATATATATTTAAACTATATAAATGCATATATATATAAGTGTGTATATATATGTATATGCATATTTAAAGTACACTTATGTGTAAAAATACATATATATATATAAAATTATAAATACATCTATATAAAATTATATAATTGTAAAAGTATGCATACCGAAGTATATGTATATATATGTATTTAAACTATATGTATGAAAGTGTATATATAAATAAAAATATCAGTATAAAAGCAAATATAAAGTATAGAAATTAAAGTATATCTATATAAGTGGATATATTAATTTATATCTACTTTTTAAATATATTTGTATATATATTACTATTTTTATTAGAATATATTTGTGCATATATACACTATTTATATATGTACATATATAAAATAATATATATAATAAAAGCATATGTATATATATTAGTGTATACATACTATACTTGTACAGTAATAAACTATGTATTGTAATATTCCCAAACCATTTAAACTATAATCAGGAAGCACAGCCCAGTAAGGAAATTTGAATTGCTTTAATAGACATATAAATATACAATAAATCATATTTCACACTTCTGGGGCTTTGGCATCTCAAACAATTCACTGGAATTGATTTTTTTTGTGCTGCTGGTGGTGTCACTTCTGTTCCCGTGTCCCCACTGAAAGCAGCACTTGGCTCATCCCACCTGTGAAACCATAAAGGAGAAATCAAGCCCTGTAAAAGAATTAAAAATTAAGTTTATTTTAAGTAAAAAGCTTTCTTCCATGCTGAGCTGATTTGCCTTTTCCCCTTTTTCAGATATCTCGGTGACAGTTGCATTTTATCACCTTTTAAACATTTTTTTTTCCTCAATAAAATCATGGTTTTCCCACAATTCTCTGCCTGAGATTATAAATCCTGATCGTCCCACCACATCACTCTATTTTTAGCCCTAAAAAAAAAAAAAATAAAAGGACAAATGTAATTTCAGCAAATAAATGTATCCAGAGACAATGGAAATGGTAGAGGGATCCATCTTCATCTTTCTGAAGAAAATGACACAAAACCCAGTTAAAATGCAATTTAGTTGGGTTGCTGGGAAGTGGAGTCCATCATCACTCAGGAATTATCTTCTTATTATCTTGAGACTGGAAAAAAGAGAAAGTGCTGAATTCCCACTACATCTAAAAAGAAAAACTATAAAAACACCGTAAAAAACTTTACAAAAGCTACCTTCAACATAGATTTATTTAAGTTAAACTTCAAAATATGAATAAAACTGAATGTGAGTGACACACAACCTTCCCCAAATATTTGGTTTATTCCTTGCAGCTTTTCTGACACAGCAATAAGTAGGAAATGAGGTCAGCTCTCCCTAAAAACACAACTTTTGTTTCTTGTGTTGCTGTTCCCCATCTGGTTTCTGTCCCAAAATTTCCAATGACATTCCCAGAACACCCTCCAGTTCCTCCCAGCTGCCTGAAGTCAGCACAACTGGAGAATAAAATATATATATACACATATTTATTTATTTATTTATATATTTCATATGTATATATAATTAGATATATATAAAATTTATATATGTATATATCATAAATATATACATATTGTTATTATATATAATATATTAAACTGAAAAATAAACTTTTATATTAATTTCCACTCCTACCCAAACCCCAAAGATCAAAAATCTCAAGCAGGGATGAAGGAAAACAGAGAAAGCCCAAATATTTCCTGAGTTGTTTTGTGGCAGCAGAGCTCTGAAGTACAAACTCTGATTTTAATGGTAAGAGGAGACACAAGAATTCCACATTAATTTGGCCTGGATGGACAGAGGGAAAGAGGAAATCCAGACATAAATCCACAAAAAACACTTTAGGCAGAAATTATTTCTGCTGGCTCAAGAAAGATGGGTTACAGAAAAAAAAAAACCAACAAAAAAAACCACAAAAAAAAAAAAAAAAAAACCAAAACAAACCCAAAAAAAAAAAAAAAAAAGCCAAAAAAAAACAAAACAAAACAAAACAAAACAAAAAAAACCAAAAATCCACCAAGACGTTTTCCTTGAAGGATTCACAGTCTAAAAAAGCAAAATACCAAATACCACACAGGGAAAGGGTTGAAAAAAAAAAAGGATTTAAACCCAAAATGTAGCATTTATCTTTATTTCTATCCAGCAGAAACTGTGCTCCCAAAAATATTAAATAATTAGAAGTAGTAGGAGCTACATCCTCCTCTCAAAATAACCTTCAAAATACCACAATGCCCACGCAGAGAGAGGTTTCAGCAGGAATTTTTGGGAAAAGGGGATGAAAGCTGCCAAATTTTCCAGCCCTAAAAACCCTGGAGAAATTGAATCTCCTGGAAAAGCAGCACCATGAGGAATAAATTCTATTTGTGGCTCTGGATTTGGTTCAGCACTGTCTCAGCAGCAGCAAAACCCACTCAAAATATTGATATTACAAATATACAAATACTACAAATATTGGTGAGGGCTTTTTAAAGTAATGCAGAGTGAGATCTGAGCCAAAACCTGGCCACAGCAATGTGAATTCCTATGAGTAATTATGTTTTGAATAGGGAATTGCAGTGATTTTAATAACTTGTAGCAGAAAAAGAAAAAAAAATATATATATATGTGTGATATTATATATATTTCTATTTGTACTTATATTTATATAAAATAGAGTGAAGTATAAGCAGTCATTTTTCTGGACTCCTCACCACAGCAAGACTTTTTTTTTTTTTTTTGGCATTTTATTATGACAGAGAAGGTAAAAAATGTAACAATGAAGACAAGCACTGCACTCCTAGAAAACTTAAAAAAAAAAATAAAATTAAAGGCAGAAAAAAAGAGGAAAATTTCTTTTTCCTGAAAGCAACCATTTCAATTCCTCTCTGCAATCTCTTCCAGTGACTCCTGTCTTACACCATTGGGATTTCAGATTATTTCAAGTGTTTACTTCACTCTTTTCTCTCAGAAAGCATCACTGAGGCAGAGGAAGCTGCAGCATAAAAAACACATTAAAAAGGGGGATCAGGAAGGGCCCCAGATTTTCCAGCTGTTTGGATTGAGGCTGGAATGGGAGCAGGGCACCCCTTGGGCACCGTGCTGGGGCTCAGGAAAAATTTCCTCACTGGAAAGGTCAAGCCCTGACCAGGCTGCCAAGGGAAGTGGTGGAGTCACCATCCCTCGAAATGTCCAAAAAATGAGTGGATGTGGCACTTGGGGACATGGATTAGTGGTGGAAGTGCTGTTAATGATGATCCAAGAGGTTTTTTTCCAGCCTTAATAATTCCATGGCTCTCAGAGAGGCCAAATCCCTGCACAATCCACTTTTGTACCCTCTAACCCCAAAATCACAAGGCTAAAGTCATAAATAGTGGAGCAGGCTGTGAGGGAGATTTTAAAAAATTAAGGATAACCTGGATTGGGGCTGCTCCACTCCATTTCTACCTGATTTATTTTTTTTTCCCCAGAAACCATCAAACACCTCTTCATTCCAGCACCACCTTCTCCTGTCTAACCCTGTGTCACCTGCAGCTGCTGGCAGCAACAAAAGCCTTTCAAACACTGTGAAAACAAAAGAAATGTGTGTCTGAGGCAGAAAAGCATCAGGGCTTCTCCAAACAGAGGAGTTTATTTAGTGTTTGTTCAGGCTCTGCTCAGCCCAGCACAATAAAACCATTCTGAGCAGGCTTTGCACAATGGGTGGCAGAGAGGAAAAGCTGCTTCAGGCTGAGCTGGGCAGCACAGCCTCGCCTTTGTGGCATCTGGAGGTTCCAGTTTCATTTATTTTCTCAGCAGAAAGAATCTGTTACCAATCCCACACCTGACCAACACTCCAAGGCATGGTTTTGTCAGCAAACAACCTGGAAATGCATTTCTTCTGTTGTAGGTCTTCACACCAATCCAAAAAAAGGCATTTTCTCTTTTAGATGAGTCACATTTAAATCAGAGACAAAAATTAATGAGGTATGCCACAGACTCATTTGACAGCAACCATAAAGTTTTAATCAATATAAGCATTTTTTAACAGACAAATTCCTTTCACAGTAACACTGAAACAGAGGCAGAATGTGATTTTGGACGGGTTGTGTTACAAAT